TAGCTTTACTTTGTCTAACAGGTTCGTCCGAACTACTTATCTCTCTGTGGGATTCGATCCTTAAATACTACAACCGATTCACTGTGCACTTGCAGTAGTCGTGTGGTCTTTTGAGGTAAAAGATTGAAGCGAAAAACCATCACACATCATATAACTCTTACTTGAACCCAAAGAGCAATAAAAGAAAGGAAATCTTCATCAGAAAAGTCTTCCCATCGTTGTAAAGCAACAAACCAATCATTAAACAACCAAGGTTCTCTTCTAAGAACAACAACCAAGTCTACTTCAGAATGAACCAAAAATTGGACGAGCATAGAAAATAATTCCCATACACGATGTGAGGAAGCGTTCACACTTCTAAATTTCTGATCTCTGGGATTTAGAGGCCTCCCAATAAACTTAGTCCGCTTTTTGCTAAAACTCCATCATAGATTTCTTGGAGAATAAAAAGTTATGGGTCATCTCGGCCCAAAACCATATGTTGAAGATCATTCCACAAGTCGTCAGCCATAATAGGAGTTTGAAAAAAAAGCTAAGGTAAAAGAGAAAGTTACACTAGTTAAAGAAAACCTAACGTCAGTAATATATAAAAGTAAATTCCTAGATAAAAGAAAATAACCAAGAAATTCAAAGACAAAGAAAGGAAAGCAAACCACGAAAATAATGATTTATAAAACATAATCACTGCGTAATGATCAAAATATCCTCTACTATTTAGATATACTATTGTTGAATGACAAGACTCTATATACATGGTAAAATAATGACAAGTTAATCAACAAGAAAAATAAACTGATTAAAAAAAAAGTTAAAATACTAGATATACTATTATATTGAACAGAAAGTAGGTTCCTTAAATTAAAGCATCTTATCATTAAAATAAAAAGGCATAAGCATGATAAATTTTTTAAATCTTTATTATATAGTGAAATTAGAAATATATATTTAATAACAAAGTATTCAAATGTTACATGAGAATATGATATATAAATTTCAGTGTTAAAAAGAAACCATGTTATTATTGAAATTATTGTCTTTAATTAATTACAAACATAAACTTCATATTTCCATTGTATATAGATGATAAGTATTTCACGTATACTAAAAGAAAAAGTAAAAATTAAACAAGAGTGAATTAGTGCAGAGGGAAAAATGGGAAGCCAAATTAGGAAACAGACATTATGGTTGGTGATATATCGTGGTTTTTACTGATTTTAACCATGATATTAGTTGTGATTTTGGAGTCTTTTTAGTCATTTTTGTCTTTTTTTGAGTCTTTACAGGTAATTACATATTTGGATGAATTTTGGAGCAAAAGCTGGATATTTGGAGCATTACAGCTAACAAGAGCAACTTGGAACGTTCAGAGTGTCTTGGTGTCGACCGACACATCAGTGGCGATCGACACCGTCGCGTTTTCAGAAGCATTGTACGTTTAATCAAGTTTTGAAGAATTGCAGAATCACCCAATTGTTCCTGTTTATTGCAAAAAAAGTCCCCGACGTGTTTTACACTATATTATTAGGTTTTTATGTTAGGAAGACAATTAAGCTTTAATTTTGGGAGAGATATTTTGTATTAGCTTGGAGAGAAGAATCAGACTCCTTCAGAGAGATTCAGAACTCCTTTACTCTATCTCTTAACTCTTTTAATGCAATTTATTCAGATTATGATTTGTGTTTCTTTTGCTATGTCTGAGTAATTCACCTGTTAGATTTAGGGTTTTTCCATGTATTGATGAATTGCTAAGTTGAACAATTGGTAGGGTAATTTTAGGGTTCTTCACCTAGATTTGATTTAATTACTAGTTCTAGACTGTACACCTAGAATCTAGCTCATATGATAATATAGGTAGATTCGAGAGGTCATCTATTTCCTGAAATAATCTTAGGTGAGCAAGAGAACTATTCTCATTCGAGAGGTGGTTTAGTGCTTTTGTGAACATATCAAATTTGGACTTTAATGCTTGCTTAATTTTAGGAATTTACATTCGAGAGGTGGAATTTCTATTGATAGGCATTGTGAATTAATTCATTCGAGAGGTGGTTAATTTGATATTTGTGATTTGAGTTCAAGAATGGTGCTTAATAAACCCTTGCTTGCTGTTTAATTTGTAGTTATGATTTACTGAAAGGAATAACCTTAACTCTAGCTCTTCCATCAATTGAATTAAACCCGTCTCATAGGCCTGGGCATTCGGGTACCCGAACCCGTTTGGTTCTTTTTTTCGGGTATCGGGTCTATTCGGTTAGGGGTTCGAGACCCATTCGGTTATTCTAAAAATTCGGTTCGGGTTCGGTTCGTGTTCGGATCGGTTCGGATATTTTAATAAAAAAAAAGCAAATTACCCGAACATAACCAAAAATACCCGAAATATTTTCGGGTTCGGGTCGGGTTCGGGTTTTTAACTCATATATACCCAAATCTAACCGAAATACCCGATTTCTCGAAAATACATTGGTTACTCTTTACCCAAATATAACCAACAATATCTAAAAATACTAAAATTACCCAAAAGAAAACTACATTATTAGTTACTTTTTAACCAAATATATCCAAATGTATCCGAATTACTCAAAAATACCTAATATATTCGGATTTATGATTGTAATTTTAGGTATTTTGGGTATTATAAATATAAATATAACTAATACTTTTAGGTGTATATTTGTTTTCGGGTACCCACATGTATTGGATTCTGTTCGGGTTCGGTTCGGGTTTTTTTCAGGTAGGAGGTCTAGGACCCATTCGGGTATTTTTAAAAATCGGTTTGGGTTCGGTTCGGATATTTTTTCGGGTTTTTCGGTTCGGGTATTCGGTTCCGGGTATTTTGCCCAGACCTACCGTCTCACTTGCTTCGTTTTAATTTAATATTTTTATTCTCTATTTAGCTTAATTCGATTGCTGAATTGTTTATTGTGTGAACAACGAGAACTTTGTGGATTTCGACCCTTAAGTGCTACAATTGATCTCTTATTTGAGAGAGTAGTTCTAGGAGTTAATTTGACCTATATCAGTTGGTTGTCGGTAACAACGAAAAAAGAGAGGTGAAAATGGGTTTGATTTTGGCACTTATTACCAAAAAACCAGACCATCTTTCTGGCATGCGCGTGGGAATAACCAACCTGGCCTTTCGAGCAAGTGAAAGAACATTCTAACATATCATAAATGCCCAATAGTTGAACTGATAGTTATCTAGCTACAATCAGATGGAAGTGATGCTCATTAAATGCAACAACAGTTAATTTGAGCTCACAAGAATTTAAAACTGGGGAGAAATAATTTGGGCGGGATGTGAAAATTTAAACACGTAACCTAGGGGTGTGGAGACCTAATAAATAGTGGGACGACGATTGTGATAAAACGTAGAGCCACATAAGGTAAAAGAAAAAAAAAGACATAACTTCAAAAGAAGACGGATCTGCTTAACAAATTGCGTAGAAAGGTATGGAAGCGGTAAGTGACTTAGTTATTGCTCATGTAGTTGGATATTTTTAACTATATGATGTAGTCAACTACCGGTTAGTTGTGTGTAATACAGGTGTTCGAGATGGTGGTCACAAATGACTTGGTGAACGGCATGGTATGTGTGGTTGTTGGGGGGGGGGGGTGGAACAAAGATGACGGTGGCGTATGGAGGTTCATGGCGGCAAATGACGGAGAAGCCAAGTTCATACACTTCTGAGAAGGAGATGGAATTGAAGCAGCTAAAGCCAAAGTGATAGGCGATCTGAACATATATCGAACATGTGAAAAGACAGAGCTAATGTACGAGATGCCGGAGTGGATGGATGGTGACACTAGAAATACGAGTTCAAGGTGGTTCCTATCTTGGACGAGTTGGCGTTTGCAGAAGTAATGACCAAGTCAGATGTGGAAAAAGAAAAGAGGAGGCGGGCATACAAGGCGACATTAGACGACATCATTTGCACACAGCTGCCACCTGAACATTTGGCGGATAGCGAAGATGGTCCTCTAGGCTGGGTAGGCCATACATTCCGTCGCAGTAGCCGTTAAAAATTCATTAATCTGATCCGTTATCATTGTTTTAACCTCTGCTAAGGACTCCTCAAAAGCATGAGGATTAGTTGTAGTAAACAAATTCTTAAAATAAGAGATTGCTAATGTTTTGAATATATTTATCCTCTGCAGACCATATCCCATTTTCATCATGTAGACCGCTAATTCGATTCCTGGAAAGTCTCTGTTTTATTAGAGCAAGAAATTTTTTTGAATTATTATCCCCTAATTGCATCCAATTACTTCTACTTTTTAATACCAATAGATTTCTTCATCTCGGTAAGCCTCTTTCAACCGTAGTGTTAGTTCCGTAATCTCCTCTCGTGTTCTCGTATCGTCTCTCTGAGCCGCTTCTAGTTTGGATTTCAGGTCCTCTATTGTTTTCCGTACATATGGAGTTTACTCTTTCTGCCATTGTGAAATAGCCTTTCTACAATTAGTCATTTTTTCCACAAATTGTCCCTCTTCGGCACCCGAATCGAGATTCCACCCACTTGATATTGTCTCTAGTAACCCTTTTTTTCCAATCCATCTTTTATCAAACCTAAAACATTGGTTACAACGTGGTATCTTATATGAAATCGTAGCTTTAACCAGTGAATGATCAGAAACTATCATTGGTAAATACTCATGCCAATCTTCATTTTCTAGCGCTCTATCCAAACGACACCGTATTGGTTTTTTATCATGTCATCCCTGCCACGATAACCAATCTTCCAGATGTGGAAATTACCTAAGTCCAAAATCATTTATCATTATAATAGAAGGGATAAAAGAAGAAGCATGTCTTAATTTGCCACCTCTTTTTTCATGGTTTTTTTTTTAATCATTGAAATCTCCTATCAAAAACCAAGGTGTATTCCGAGATAAACTGATCCGTGTTAACCATTACGAAACTTGGTCTCTATTTTTGGTATCAGATCACTATAAACAAAAGTAAGATTAATTGTTTTTCATTTAAATAGCCTCAATATAAAAAATAATAGAAACATTGAAGTCATTATTATAAAAAAGCGCTAAACAACCACAACAACCAATAGGATGAACCGTTTTTAAGTTTTTATAACCAAAATGACTAACAAGTTTTTCCAAAAATAAAGAGGATTGTTTCGTTTCCGAGAGAAATAAAAAATCCGGCCGATGTTTCTTCCACACATCACGAAGATATCCGATAGTTGCTTTATTCCCGAGACCTTGACAATTTGGTTTTGGTGGTTTGTTTCCACCCGTTAAACCGTTCACCGTACCTTGGTTTGTCGAATTATTATCTTCCTTCAATTGCAAGCTTCCTATGGCTACAACCCTTCTCTGTGGTGACGCCAAAAGTTGAGCATTTCTCATCTTTGAACTAACACCCATGAGCACCAAACTCCCTTTCAGATTTCGAGATGTCTCCAAATCCCCATCCCTATCCAAATCTGGCTCTCCACATCAACTTTTGAAACCATCATATCCGAATTAGTGTCCTCGACTAGCTCAGATGCATTCCGCGGCTCATCTGCAGTTTCCTCAACCTCATCAGTCTTGGAAAGGTCCGTCAGACGACGAGATGTTACCATCAAATCATCACCATCCACTTCCTCATTTGACATTGGTAAAACCGACTCCTCTTGGTCCATATTAAGAGTTTCGTCAGACAAACCTGCTGCAATATTTGCATTGGACAAAATACCAGCATCTTCCATCTCGTTCTCCTTCAACCTAGCTGTTGTAATTTCTCCTTCCTCTGGATTAATCTCCGTGCCGCTTAACGACTCCACTTCCAAACCAGCTACAGCTACATCATGAGAAGCTAGTGAATTAAAAACAGCATTCCTTACTTGTTTTGGTGGTACAACATCGACAGGTTTGGCTTGCTCCCCTTGCGACTCCATTCCAGCCCTCTCTTTAACCACATTTTGATGCTCCTGCGCACCATCTCCACCAGCCTTTGAGAACTGATAATCGTTATATTGAACATAACTTGCAAACTTCGGCCTTGAAGAGGAAGCACCATTATGATTCCCCGATTGAGACCGTTTCCGATCATCTTTACGAGCATCCGCAACATTCTTCCCTTTAAACGCACCTGAGACCATCCCTTCATGTCTTGTTTCCTGCCTTGTCACCTGAGTTACCGCTACTTTAAAACTTTGCAAATATCGATCGTCATTCACCTCTTCAACCGGAAGCAACTGATCAGTACCTAAGGCTGCATTAAAATCACAATATGCCTCATCATGGCACAGACTCATACACAACTTACAAAACCTAAAAAGTCGCTAATACCGCACAGACATGGTGGTTTCCTCAACATTGCGAACTCTATCTCCGTTTCGATGCACAATGGTTTGAAACCATCAATCGTTACTTCAACTCAACCGCCATCAAAATCCATTGCTTCTACTTTACCCAGATCCTTTCCAATGTCTCGAAAGATTGTGTCAGTCAAGAATTCAATTAGGACTCCAAGAACTCTAATCCAGAAGGTAATGGCCGATGGATAATTGGGATCAACCAAGGGCGACCATCTCAACAGAGACACCATCAAATGATCAAAGTGAAAAGGCTCCATCTTCAAAACCTCCACAATATCTTCCTCCGTCTCAAAGTCAAACTGGAACCGACCCAACCCCAAATCAGCCCCTACATTCTTTCCTTCAAGCTGCTAGATACGTGGTACCATGAACAACATCGCCTTCCGAGGATTTATACACCGCCCAATTAAAGTCTTTGAGTATCCCACAATCAAAGCTGAATTGTCAAAGTGTGAAATTTTTATTCTTCTCTTTGGAAACATGGCCCCAACCCTTCTCTCTCCCATTTTCTTTCCCATGAAAGCACTCTGAGACATTTTGAGAACATTAAACAATGAAAAAAACCCACACCAAAATGATAATCTCGGAAGAAAAATAAACCCAGAACCAGCGATATGAAAACCAAAGCTTGACAGATTGTGGTTTTGAATGAAAGCAAGACTCCCCTTTTTATACAACTCTCCATCCCAAAAGAATCCTCCCTCATCAATACTAAATATCCCCTAATCTCCAAAAGGCTTGATGCCCACACCAAAGACATAAAGGAAAGAGAATGGTCTCTCACTTTAAGGACAAGTAAAAAAAAGGAAACAAGATCAATTTGTGAAGAGAGGCTAATCGCCATCACTAACTAGGAATACCAAATCCATATCTAGAAGATCCGACTACCATAACTCCACCAAAAGATTTCAAAAATGCTAATTAAAAATAAGATATTTGATATATCTTGTACCCAAATCCAAGTGATATCTGTGTGAATCCTCAATGGTATCCATCTAATAAACATATCTCCTTGCCATCGTATAAAGGAGAATCGTATCTTCCTTTAACCAAAACCGAATCAAATTCCTCGAAGATCTGCACCAATCCCTCTGATGAGAGTAGAGTACCTCAATCAAAATCTGAACATTCAGTTCCCCAAAGCACCAACTCACGTTTGCGAAACCGCCTTCCACGAACCAGAAGAAAGTTTTAGATTTGTGAATCCATAAATAGATCAATCCATCGATACAACCTCTTCAACACCAAAAGATAGAAAGCCTATCCTGCCCTGATCTAGCCCAACTCAGACCTCGTGAAAGGACAACAACCTCAATCCTTCTCACCAAGAACCACCATATCAACTCATTATCGCAACCGAAAACCACCGAATTACATCTGCTCATGGTCGGGTTTCAAAACCCTAGAGTCGCCATTGAAATCACCGTCGAGAGAGAGTTTTCTTTCGGGAAAAACACATTTTTAACACTCAAAAGGATAGCAACTCGAAAGTATTTCACTAGCACTATAAACCACAAAAAAAAACTTTTACTAACACTTTAAACCTCCAAACTAGCTTTTCTGTTTGTCCCACCATAAAAAATGATAGAAAATTTAATTTCTATTTGTTTAGTATACATTTATTTAATTTAAATTAATTTTATTATTTATTACAATTAATAAAAATCTATAAAAAAAACAATTAAAAAAAACATCACCTTCTTTGTTTACTTACCGTTCGATCATGAAATTTCGAAATTAAACCTCTGAAACTTTAGATTTAAGCACAAGAGAAGTTTATAGTATAATAATATAAATCAAATAATGTAAAATATGAGGTACAAGAGAAGCTTGAATACAATAATAAAAACTAAAGAATGTCAAAATTTTGTGAGAAAATAAAGCATTCTTCGTATCGGAGGAATCTAATTTTTTTTTACGTTTCTTAGTAATCGAAAAATTATAATAAATAATAAAATTAATTAAAATTTAAATTAAATTAAATAAATTTATATTAAACCAACATAAATTAATTATTCCATCATATTTTATGGCGGTGCAAACATGAAAACTAGTTTGGAGGTTTAAAGTGTTAGTAAAATTATTTTGGTGGTTTATTATGTTAGTGTAAATCTCTCGAGGTTTAAAGTGATACCCAGTGACACATTGAGGGTTAAAAATGTGATTTTTCCGTTTTCTTTTATAACTTTTATAATTACTATACTAAATATAATTGTTTCTTTCCGTCACTTATATAATAACTCAAGAAGAATGATTTATACTTATTTAGTTTTCATGAAGAATAACTTCTGTAATGTGAAAAATAATAAACCAATGTATTACATCATACCAATCGGAAACAATGCACATCCATGGTCTTATTGAAACTTGATCACACAGGTGATGCCATAAAATATTGGTACGCTTTAACCACTCCTAAAACTGCAGCAACCACAACCACCACAGCGGCCACACCCTCCACTACTGTCTTCCTCCATAGTCTTTGCTTCAATGAGCCAAACTTGATATAAAATTCACTTGAACAGTTTGCTACATTTCTCATATCCTCATCTGTTTTAGGGTCTCGAGTTTGTGATGTGGCTCCCTTCAAAGCGACCGAGGGACCAGCTGTTATAGGGCTTGTCTTTGGCATTGTCACATACAAAACTCCCTTTGAGAACTTCGCGCGAATCTCATTTCTTTTACAATTTTTCGCAACTTTTGTTTCTTTCATGAACCTGATTGATTTGGTCTGGTCCACATGACAGCCTCCTGTTATTGTTAGTACACCACTGTGGTTGATCTGTATTTTAAGATGCTCTTTCTTCAAACCTATATAAACATCAATTCCACTTTTCGTTGATAATTAAATAACTTATATTCTTTGGTTCTTTTTTTTAACCACAAATTGAATTAAACAACCGGTCTAGTGATCCAAACCGGGAAAAATTAGTTTACATATGATTCATCTAAATTCCTAGACCTAGCACTACTGGCCAAATTGTCCGTTTGGACATTTAAACAAGAGATCCCTTTAAACAACGTGGAGCGGAAGAAAGTTTGAGAATCAAACTAGCTCGCAATGTGATATCAAAGTATACTTTACAATATTTGGAGAAGAGAAACAAAGTAGATTTGTGGAAGCAAAGTATAATCAAAGCTTTTAACAAATATCTTGTGTTGGGCTATATTTCGGTTAAAATATATATCAAGCTAATTGCAATGCAGACTTATAATTTAGTGAATAACAACTAAGTTTCTTCTTTGTTTCTAATATCCAAGTGATTCTTTTAATAGTTTTTATATTTTATTATACGAAACAAAAATTAGCATTCATTATTGAAATACTAATTATATATAGTATAACCTACGAAAAGAAATATAAACATAAATTAATTCCTCCTTATTTTTCCGTAATAAATACGACGATGCAAACAGGAAAGCTAGTTTCGAGGTTTAGAATGTTAGTAAATTATTTTAATGGTTTATAGTGTTAGTGAAATTCTTTCGAGATATAAAGTGCTACCGATGACACTTTGAAGGTTAAAAATGTAATTTTTCGAAATTATAATGATATCCGAATAATTAATGTACCTGAAGGAAGATGTAGCTCAAGAATGTCGATGTCTTCCATTCTTCTCCATCGACAAAAGGGTTCGATTTCATCGTAAAAGTGTGTGTTTCCACCTTCCATATTTACTGCCATTTTGTAAAAATGTCAATGAACACGAAAAATAAACAAAAAATTTATTGATGGAAATCTCTCTCTAGCTTCTAATTTGTTGGAAATGAATGATTGGTGATTGTGAAGATGACCTATCTAATTGCTTCTATTTATATTCTATGATATGTGCAAGGAGTTTCTTCTTGGATCTCCTATGTACTGAATGATTCGTTTATTACCCTTAAAGATTTGCTTTAAAAAATAATTTATTTCACTCTTTCGAGTTTATATAGTTTGTTGTATCTTGTGAAATTGGTGTTTCGTCACATGCACATATCTTCGTCTATGTAGTTCCAGAGATTCTTTTTTTTTTTGGTTCTTTTTTACCATTGCTTTATTACTTTTCTTACCATTGCTTTATTACTTTTCCACTACAAGAAAACATAGCAATTTCCGACGAACATTTCCGACGAAATTTTTAGTCGGAATTATTCCGACGGATTTCCGGGGAATTTCCGACAAACTTCCAAGAAAATAATATTTCGTCGGAAATTCGTCGGAAACATAAAAACTTTTCCGACGATTAAAAATTCGTCGGAATTTCGTCGGAAATATTTGTCGGAAACCATGGAAAATTCCGACAATCCAATGTCATCGGAAACTGCTCGGAAACTTGTCGGAAAATTTGTCGGAAACAACGAGGAAACACGTGATTATTCACTGCACATGTTCCGACGTAATCCTGACAACTTGATCGAAAAAATTAGTCGGAAAAGTAGTCGGAAAATCTAAAGTTGTTACCTTTAATATTTCCGACGAAATTTCCGACAAAATGTCCGCCGACATTTTGTCGGAAATTCGTCGGAAATATTAAAGGTAACCACTGTAGATTTTCCGACGAATTTCCGACAAACTTTCCGACGACATTTTGTCGGAAATTCGTCGGAAATATTAAAGGTAACCACTTTAGAATTTCCGACGAATTTCTGACAAAATGTTAGTCGGAAAAGTTTTATATATATACTAGACAACGAAAGAATCATAGACACAAGAAAAAAGTTGAAAAAAAAAAAACAGAAACACAAAAATATCTTCGAAAAAAAAATGTCTTCTCATAATATTTATAAAATTAGAGAGTGGATGTATAATCGATTAGATGATGAGACCGGAGCTATGAGGCAGGAGTACAAGGAAGGTTTAATGGAATTCATGCAGTTTGCATCTAATCAAGAAATGACGCGTATCGAAGGTATTATGGCATGTCCTTGTGTCAAATGTTGTAATGATCATTTTCTTGCAAAAGACATTGTTTGGAATCATTTATATTGGGGAGGTTTTACACCGGGATATTATATATGGTTTTCTCACGGGGAGGATTTTAGATCGGGTCCTAGTAGTAGTCGTGAAAGAAGAGATGAAAACGTTATAATTAGCGATGAGCATATTCACCAGGAAGAAGATAATGTAATTGGAAGTGGTAGTGGTGAATTTCATGATAACGTAGAAAATACTAATGTTGCGGAGGAACCCAACTTAGAAACACAGGGATTTTTCGATATGTTAGATGCTGCAAATCATCCGATATATGCAGGATGCAGAGAGGGTCATTCTCCTTTATCCGCCGCAACACGTATGATGAACATCAAAACAGACTACAATTTAAGTGAAGATTGTGTTGATGCGTGGGCTGATTTTATCCACGATTATCTACCGGAAGATAATTTATCGCCAGTTTCATACAACGCAATCCAAAAATTGGTATCTGGGCTAGGTTTACCATTCCAAATGATTGACGTGTGTAGAGAAAATTGTATGATTTTTTGGGGAGATAATGTAAATATGTCTCAATGTCGTTTCTGTGGTGCTGAAAGGTTTCAGGTTACTGGTGGGCGAAACAAAATACCATATAAGCGTATGTGGTATTTGCCCTTGGCTGATAGGTTGAAGAGGTTGTATCAGTCAGATCGGACAGCGGAGGGTATGCGATGGCACGCTGAACATGAGTTCACCGGGGAGATTTCACATCCATCGGATGCATCGGCCTGGAAACATTTTTGTTCTACATATCCAGTCTTTGCTAATGAACCAAGGAATGTCTATCTTGGTTTATGCACGGATGGATTCAATCCATTTGGAAAGTCAGGTAGAAAATATTCTTTGTGGCCAGTAATAGTCACCCCTTACAATCTCCCACCTTCCCTTTGCATGAAAAGAGAATTTCTTTTCTTAACCATTTTGATTCCTGGTCCAAACCACCCTCGTCGTTCACTTGATGTGTTCCTACAGCCGCTTATAGAAGAGTTAAAAATGTTATGGTACCAAGGGGTTTGGGTATATGATGTCTCCACAAAGACAAATTTTAACATGCGTGCTGTATTGATGTGGACTATTAGTGACTTTCCCGCATATGGCATGTTATCGGGTTGGACAACTCATGGAAGACTGTCGTGTCCATATTGTCAAGATAATACAGATGCCTTCCAACTAAGACATGGCCGGAAATCAAGTTGGTTTGATTGTCATCGTCGTTTTCTAAGACGAAATCATCCATATCGTCGTAGTAAGACGTTGTTCCGCAAGAACAAGAGTATCCGTGATCCACCGCCACCTGAGTATGATGGTGATTATATATTGAATCAATTTCGTGATTTTGATGTTGACTGTACATCATCGGTAGGCGGTAATGGCCATGTCCGAATTGATGGATATGGAGAACATCATAATTGGCATAAAAAAAGTATCTTCTGGGAGTTGCCGTACTGGACAAATCATCTACTCCGCCACTGTCTTGACGTTATGCATATTGAGAAGAATTTCTTTGACAATATAATTAACACCATTTTAAATGTCCCGGGTAAGACTAAAGATAATGTCAAATCCAGAATGGATTTACCCGATATTTGTGCGCGCGAGGATCTCCATTTGCTTGCAGACGGAGTAGGTCCTATTCCTATATGGAGATTAGATGCAAGCAAGAAGACCAAGTTTTTTCAGTGGATAATTGATGATGTTAAATTTCCTGATGGCTATGCATCAAATCTATCATATTGTGTTGATGATCACAGTGGTAGATTAGCTGGGATGAAAAGTCATGACTGTCACGTCTTCATGCAGCGTTTACTACCATTTGCGTTTACACAACTCCTACCAAATGTTGTCCATGAAGCAATTGCAGGTACAAACAACTTATCTTTCAATTATTTTAATATGTTATTATTCATGTATATATTCTTTTTTTGTTTACAGTTATTAATTAAATTGCAGGGATAGGTGCATTTTTTAGAGATTTGTGTTCAAGATCTCTAACAGTCGAAGGACTACATACACTTGAAGATAATATCCCGATTATCATTTGCAATTTGGAGAAATTATTTCCCCCATCATTCTTTGATGTCATGGAGCACTTGCCTATCCATCTACCTCGTGAAGCAGCACTAGGCGGTCCAGTTCAGTACCGGTGGATGTATCCTTTTGAGCGTTATATGTTCCATTTGAAGAAAAAAGTAAAAAATCTTAGCAAAGTTGAGGGATCAATAGTAGCTCAAAGCATAAACGAGGAGACTTCTCATTTTTCGGCCTACTATTTTGCTCCAAATGTCCAAACAAAAGCAAGAAAACCAGGTAGGTACGATGATGGGGGTGTGCGGCCTTTTTACCATACATCTGTCCCAGATATCTTTTCTCAAATCGGGAGACTGAGTGGGAAGAAAAGAGAAGTATGGTTTACAGATCAAGAATTTAATCACATTCATACTTACATACTCCGGAACTGTGACGATGTCATACCATTCGAGAAGTAAGAAACAAAATTCATACCTTAATAATACGCATATATTATTTGCAAAATAATTACTTATACAAAAAAACAAATGTCTGTAGGATCTTTGATGATCAAGTGTCTGGAGCGTATCCAAACATGACAGAGGCTCGAAAAGAGGAAATGAAGCAGACACAATATGCTAATTGGTTAAAATATTATGTAAGTTTTCACCGTTGATTTTACATATATTATGAACATGGTTACTATTTATTAAAATCGTACATTTGCTTGTATGTTTTGCAGATCAAATCAGCCGCAAGTAGGCAGGAACACTATCCAACATGGTTTGAAGAGTTGGTTGGAGGTCCTCTATCAAGGGCAATGGCATACCCGATGTATTGCACTCGAGGCTACGTTTTCATAAAACGTCCAGGGATTACTAACAGAAAAACAGTGAATTATGGGGTCGTTGTTCGTACAGATTCGATAGACTACTATGGTGAAATTACTGATATATTAGAGGTTGAATATCCGGGAGTCATAAATTTGAAATGTATACTCTTCAAGTGTGACTGGTATGATCCTAGAGTTGGAAGAGGTGTTAGACTTACAAAGTATGGTGTCACAGAGATCAACTCGACTAAGCAGTTAAGAAAGTACGATCCGTTTATACTTGCATCTCAGGCAGCACAGGTTTGCTACATACCATATCCACAAGTAGGTGTTCGACAATATCCATGGATTACGGCTCATCAAATAAATCCAAGAAGCAGAGTTGATGGGGTGAAAGAAAAGGAACCGCTACAACAAATTGCAGTAAACGAAATTACGCAAGTAGATCAATCTGTCGGTGACATTCCCCTCGTTGATATTGAGAACATAGAACTCGAAGAGATATGGGAAAATGCGGAAGACGAAGAGGATGGAGAAGAGTTTGAAGATCAAAATGATTCTGCTAGTTCAGATTATTCTTCCGATTCTGAGTAAATCAAATATATCGTCTTTAGTTTTATATATATATATTTTATAAAATCTGTTTAAATGCTTTTAAATTTATCATATTATATGCATTATAATTTATTTGTTAAAAAAATCTGTTTCTATTTTATAATAATTAAACCATTCTAATATTTTATTTTATTCATACTTTCATCGGAACTGTCGTATGAAACGTTTGAGATTAAATTTGTACCGCTTAAATATATCTTGATACAAAACAGGGTATATTTAATTAAAGAAATACTTGACACAAAATAATTAAAATTATTTAAATAAATATACCCTGTTGCCGAAGAATTTTCCGACGACATTATTTTCTCCATCGGAAAATCGTCGGAATTAGGCTATATTGAATTAATTTATTTTTTTTACTTTTCTTTCAGAAATACTGAAGCGGGAACATTTACGAGACTCGGGAGATTTAATGTCCAAATTCCGTCGGAGATTGGGTCTTAAATTTATTGCCGTTTACTGTTCCCGGGCGTCAAAGAAGTTAATGTAACCAATTTCCGACGAAATTTCCGACGACATTTAAAAAGTCTCGTAAATGTCCACGGAAAATGTTACCGCGTAAATTTAATTTCCCCCGGAGCTACCGCAAGCGTCTT